TATGTACTTGACTCCACGCACTGCCATCTAAGACTTTATACACTCGACCCCGTGACGTTACATAGCTCCAATTACATAGCTCCAAAACTCATGGCTAATGATGCTTTCGGGCCACTCGTCTTCTAGTTTTATTTTTTCGATCAGGCAAGCGCGCCTGCCTCCTGGACGGACTTCTCTGGCCTTCTGATGATGGTATCCCGGACTGAGGTGGCGCATTGGAAGCGGCAGAACTCGAAGAAGTTGAGTTTTGTGTTGTGTTTCTGTCTGGTGCACATGGATTTCATCTCCGTTCAAGACTAGCTGCTGCGTCGTATTTTCTGTTCCTGTAGGTTGTGTGCGGAAAGAATCCACAGCCCCATGTATAAGATGCACCCAAAACCTTACTGTAATCATACCCTAAACCCTAAACCCTAAACCCTAAACCCTAAACCCTAAACCCTGTAATCTTTCAGGCCCCACATTAAGCCTTTGGTCGCGGGTTTTCGACAGGCACAACTTAGAAGCCCCAGCCGAGGTTGCAAACCGCTCAGAATCAGAAGCCTCAGACGCCAAGTTATAAGCAGCTCAAGTCTTACTTGCTCTAGATAAGATAGCGGCCTAAATACCTGCAGATACTCTTTTTGAGGGTTCCTTATCATAGTTATAGTATAGTAATATACCCCAAAACCCTATTGAAATTACATTATTATAGTTCTAGTATAATATACCCCCAAACCCTATTCTAATTACAAAGGCACCCCTCCCTAAAGTCGGAGGCAAGCGGAAAGCCCTGAGGCGGTTTAAGGTTACCATTTTTCGTGTGAAGCAAGCCCAATTATGGATTAAAAGCTGATCATGTTTGCTATTTAGGGTTTAGGGGTTTTGGGGTTTAGGGGTTTAGGGGTTTAGGGTTTAGGGGTTTCGGGTTTAGGGTTTACTATAGCCCCGACAAGGGAAGAGGTCCTTTAGGTTGCCTTTGAAGCCCTGTAGGACCTTGTCCTACTTCTTACAGCCAGACCGGAGGCCCGAACCGCTAAACTCTAAACCCGAAACCCGAAGCCCTCCAACCCAAAAGCTATAGAGCCCTGAATAGAACCCTGAACCCTAAGCCCCAAACTATGGTGCCCTAAACCCTAAACCCTTAATCCCCGAACTATAGAACCCTAAACCCTACCCATAGGCCTCATAGTAGTTCCTTTTTGGGGTTACCTTACAGGATTCTAAATATGAGCCCCAAAAAGGAACTAAACCCTAAGCCCTAAACCCTAAACCACAAATCTTGGGAAGCCCTGCCAGGTGCCGCTTTTTGAGATTCTGGACCGACTCGACCGGCAGCTGGTCGAACCCATCCACATGAAGGCTTTTTAGGGTTTAGGGTTTAGGGTTTGCCCCCTAAACCCTAAACCCTAAACCCTAAACCCTAAACAGAGGGCTTTTAATTTCGGGCAAGACTCGT